GTGGGCGCACGCACACACGCGCGATATTCCATTCTTTATTTCTCTAACCTACTATTTGACATATGTGATATATGCACATATATACATATATCACATATATAATATAAAGTATTCTTTTATATTTTGCGAAAAGTTAAAACTAAATCTAATTAAATAATACACACACACACAACAAATATATATATATATTGGATTTTTATTATCAAAAATAACTTGTTGTTACAAAACAATAAAACATTTCATGAAGTGTGAATGAAAATTTTATTAAAAATAATTTCTATTTATTTTTATTAAAAAATTAAAAAATTCGTTCTTTTTTTAGTAATTATTGTAATGTATTTAAATTTTTTTTTTAGCAGAAAAGACTTACTTCAAATACATACATAATTCTTTTGAGTTAATGCAATGCGAGTGATTGTAAAATTATTTTTAATAATGAAAATACAAATTCAATTTTTCTATCATCAGAAAAAACCGATTTGAAAAAATAATATAACGATTTCAAAGTAAACTGAAATTTTAAACTAAATTGAAAAAATAAATTTATAGGAATAACAAAAATATTTTTACGAATCTTAGCTAATATTTTATTAAATGTTATGTATATTTTTTGTTCGTATATATAATTTTTATATAATCTTCTGTTACAATTTTACTTGAATATGAATTACTTTGCTTAATAACAATTGGTATAAATAAATTTTTGTTACTTTTATTTAATCTACACATCATTTTTCTTGACAATATTTTAAGACTTTTACTTATTTTTTTAATCAAAAAAACTTATTTTTTCTGAGGCATGTAACTATTTAAATATAAGATACGTACATATTATCTAAAAGAAAGGCAACTACCTATTTAATAAGTGAGAATAATGTCGTATGTGCAAGTAAAATATTAATTTATATAAAATATTAATTTATATCGTAACACATTTGATATTAGTCAATTCTTAAAATTCCTGTTATTTTCTTCATATCTTATACTAGACACACACACACACACACACACACACACACACACACACACACATATAATATTAGTTTTACTATATGTAAAAAGGTAAAATTAGATTTTGAAGTATGTAAATTTAAAACCAATTTGTATATACATTTTGATGACGCTCACGTGTATACAACATGAAATAGAATATATAAGTAAAAAAATAGTTGATGATTAAGTTTTATATTTGATGAATTCTTCTTCTATTGTATTCAAAAATGCAATAGTGAAATCTTTGAAAAGGATACGCGCGCGCGCGCGCACACACACACACACACACACACACACACACACACACACACACACACACATTCATAGATTTATTCAACACATTATTTTCACGCCATTATTAAGCATTATATAATAAAACTAACGCGATTACACGGTTCGTATTTTTTATTGATTCTTCGAGATAAAAAAAAAAGAAATTCTAACTGGTTTTTAAAGAAATTTTGAAAGATAGGCGGTTAAATGTTTGCATAGGGAGAAATAACAAGCGATGCGTTAATAAAATTCCTATGTAATATCTTAGACAAAAATATGAATATGTCGGAGAAACATCGAAACTTGTATGGCTTGTACACTCGTTTGACTATTCGATCTGCTAAGCTATAATCCAAAACTGTTTTCTACACGAGAGAATGATCTCATAGCCATATCGCTAACATAGAAGGGTTTATGCGCATTTGCTCCATACGAGGGCAGAGCGTGTCATGCTACGTTTCAAGACCCCAAAGTATGTTACAGGATCAGCTGTAGTACGATGCACTATGCCTTTGTATGAATCAAGTATGCATTGGTTTTAGCTAACGAGACAACGAGGTATGACAAGACTACTATGTGGCGTGGAGCTGAGTGTGTTTTTAGCTCAACTGTTGCGTCCTTCATCAAACACATGTATATACGTAATATACTTTGCTACGTGTACATATAAATGATATATAGATAGTAAAGCAGGGAAATACTACGCACTGTATTATTATATGATGTATATAGAAAGTCAGTTGTAATTTTGCATCAATTCTGTAATAATGTTTGATAAACGCGACAGTATGAAGTATTAATATCCCGCAGTATTTGTCATTTTACCAAAGGTTTCACATTTTTCAATTTTTGTTTTAACTCTGCAATAATTTGCCGCTCTTAAAATGATATCTGTTTTATGATATTGATATCTAAAAATCTGTGCATTTTAGATTTCTCATTTTATTCCCAATTATTTTTATTTTATATTATTTGTTCTTGGGCGAATTTGTACAATGTGAAATTATTATGTTGATAATGTGATATTTTTTTCTAATGAGGATCTTTGTACACATTACATACATTTTTTTCAACAAGAAATACGTCGCACAGTTTCGATAGCATATAGTTTCGTTTCTTTTTATTTATTTTTTTTAATTAAAAACATTATGTGTGTGTATATATATATATATATATATATATATACATAAAATACACACACAGTGAGTGCAAAAAGTATTCGTACAGAGAAAATATTTTTTAAAAAAACTTAATTTTTAAAAAGTAAATATTATCCAGCGAGAAATGAATCATCGAATTGATGTCGAATCGATGATTTCAACATTAATTCGACGTCGATTCGATTTAATTGACGATCATTTCTTAGTTGGTAATTAACAATTTATTCATAAATAATAAAATAGGCTATATGTTTCTTAAAATTATATATATCAAAAAGATGTGTATTAATTATAGAAAATATATTATCTGAAAAATAAGCGAAAATTAAAAATTCTGTTGTTTGGATGCTCAAAAAGTATTCGTACAGTCGAGAAATTTAGCTTTTAAAATCAGGAATACATGCAAGCTCGTTTGTTTATGTTAAAACAGAATATATTTATTGTATAAAATTGCTAATTAATGTTTATTTTTTACAAGTAAGACTTTTTATAAATAATTTCCTTGTACGAATATTTTTTACTCTCACTGTATATAAAATCATTAAGATAATTACATTCAATATGCAAACATGATGACGAATTTTTATTTTTTAGAATTGATTGAAAGCCGCCTTTGTTGCGTGCTTGCGCGCGCGCGCACACACAAACACAACCACAGTCCAAGTGCAATCAATTTGATATCGCATTTGATACATGCATTCCTTGATAAGTCAATTTGTAATGTAATTCATTTTTTAATTTATTAGTCAACGAAACATTTGCAGCATTAAGTCTCGATTGTCTCATCTTTTGTAAATTTTACCTATTAAGTAAATCCGGCAATCCGCACATATGATTGGATAATCTTGCTACTTACCCAACAGGTAAAATTTATCAAAGAGTGGAACACCGGGCCTGAATGGATTACATTCTCCTTATCTTTTTTTTTCTCTGTTTTTTCATTCGCATGCGTGCACGTGCGCGCATTACAATCACATACATCGACAGGCAATCTCTTTATATAAACATTTATCTACTTACAAACATTGTTAATCAAGATTTATTACTCCAAATTTCAAACCAAATTTCATAAATCAAACAATTATTTATTGGCAAAAAAAGCTGTCATACGAAAAAGACTGCAGTCACATATTCTGAATTATTTTTTTATTTGTAGAATATACAAAATAGAAATAACGCACATTATGTAATTTATCAGTGTGAAATTATACTTGAATATACAATCATAGTTTCCTTTTTATCAATAATATAAGAAAGAGAAAGATACACTTGTCACAATGCAATGCACAATACGATAAATTTCGCTTATGATTATAGCAGTCTTTCGATATATGTACACTGCCATTACTGAAAATCTAGTGCATACTATAAATTTCAGTACTGCAGTGAATAACGGAACCTGTGTAGTGCGCGCGCGCGCGCACACACACACGCACACCAGAGTATATACATGAGCAAAATTTGTGCAAAATTCAACATCTACATGTATGATATACTCGCGCAATAGAATTTGTAAACGAGCTCCATTATTTTACTCATTTTCGTCGCTGTTTCATTCTCATAATAAAAAGTGTGATAAACCGTACTTGAGAGATTATATATATATATATATATATATATAAAATCTCTCAAGTAGAGATATATATACACATCAAAAATTTAATCGATTCGATATTACTTGGTAAACGAAAAATTAAAATTCACTGCAGTCTTTTAAAAGTTTTTGAGCTATAGCACTCTTGACGAATAACATCGTACTTACATACGAAGCGATGCGAACGCGAATCTGAATGATTAGGTGACGATAATCGTGAAGCTTAAAGTACACTTCTTTTTCTATCCTCTCTCTCTCTCTCTCTCCCCCCCCCCCTCTCTCTCTCCTATCGTCATTCACATTTTTGTTCACAGCATTCATCAATCAATAGTTCTGTTTCGTTAGCATTCGTTCATTTCTGTCTGTGCAACTATAAAAAATAAATCTCCAATTTTCATCATCGATACTAACTTACAAGAAGCATCTCGTCCGTCTCGTCTTGTCGGCACTGGTCCGCGATAATAAACCGCTCGCAGTTCAAAATGGCGTTCGTCCGAGCCTAATGTGAAAATAACAGCGGAAACGGAGAAAGGCAACTCGAGGCGGCAACTGCGCCGTTCTTTGCGATAATCGCGCCCAGCAACCTGCTGGCTGCTGCTGCGCCGATGTATACCACTTGCTCCAATGGCGTATGCGCAGCAATTTCGATTTTCCCATACCCGCCTGTGGTATTTATAAGCGCACGCGCGTGCGACATACCCACCCACCTACAATACATACAGAGTTTACTTCTCTTTACGATCGATATTTATTATCGATACCTATTCTTCTCCGACTAAACACTAACCCATGATGACAACAAATGAACAACAAGAAGACGGAAATATAGCTATTGCGGCTATTCAAATTTTTAACACACGACTTTTTAAGACGTGATGCACGTATATATATATACACACACATATGCACGCACATACATATGTATATATGTATGTATGTATGTATGTATGTATGTATGTATGTATGTATGTATGTATGTATGTATGTA